GGGGGGGGTAGCATGCAAGCATGTTTTAAAACTGACTCATAATTGTTTTAACTCCTCTTTTTTAAACATCATTTATCAAGTTCCAAGAAATTTCTGTTCAAATATAATTTGAAATATCCCAGAGCCAAGAGCGATGAAAATAGTGGTGCATGGTCAGTCTCTTAATTCTGGGTGCAGAATAGGCCTACGGCTGCTTATTCTGGTGTGGAGAAATAAATACCGGCATTTTATAAAGGTAAATCTAGAATCTAGATCTAGTCTATTTCAAGCAGAACTTATTTTTTTTAACCAAAAAAAACCACACACAAAAACAGCGGTCTCACAGGCCATAGGCCATAAGGGTATAGATCTAATTCTAGATCTAGATCTAGATCTAGATCTAGATCTAGAAATCTAGATCTAGATCTAGATCTCTAGATCTAGATATCTAGAATCTGGATCATTCTAATCGACAAATCTAAGCGAATTTCAATTTTAAAAAAACCTTTTGCCTTAAAACCCTCTCCGCGCTCGTTTTTTGCTTTGTAATTGTGTTTGTTTGCTTTTGTTGTGGCGGGGGTGTTGTTGTTGTTGTTGTTGTTTTATTGAAAAAAATAGACTAATAATTACTACTAGATCTTATTGATTTTTGTTTCCACTCTTTTCCTGGAAATCCTCCCATCGGGAAAGCCCGTTAATTCAATAGTGAGAACCAGAGAGTATTTTTGATATATAAAAAAGGAGATAACTCTATGGAACGAGGTCACACACCACGTAACCCGGAAGTCGAAAAAACGCACGTTGTTTACAAGTCTGCGGTAAGGCAGCAGAACTGCTTTTATTTTAGTGCGAAATGTCAGTCATTGTGCCAGATTAGATCTTACTTCATTAGTCGTAAGAACATTTCTAGATTGTTTAAGTCAAATTTGGTAGTACAAATGGCTGGATTGAACTTTGGTGGACCCACTGTGTTTACTTTAGTAATGATTTTTAGTCTAGATCTAGAATCTAGATCTAGATTCTAGTATGCGCTCAGGCTCTAGCCCACAACAACAGTGGGACACGGTTTCAGGAGCAGGAGGGCTTGCCGCTTGCCTCCTTGGCCCCTGGAAAACAATACATTTTTTAAAAACACACACTTAGAATACTTAGATCTAGATCTAGATTCTAGAATATTATCTAGACTAGATCTAGATATCTAGATCTAGATTCTAGATTGATATCTCAAGAATCTAGATCTAGAATCTAGAGTCAGAGTAGCTGGCCCAACCTATGACCATTTTTGCACTGAAAGTGGCTATTCTCACCCGCCGGAAGTTCTCGCAAGATCAACTCCTCCCCTCTTCTCTCTCTCTCTGTCTCTTTCTGAATACTGTCTATCAGTGTGGACGATCAAATTGACCAAAACAAAGTTAAAAAATGATGTTAAAACACAAAAGTAAATTAATTTGGTTGTCTACAAAGATGCTACGGCTATTTAACTTTTCGAATCGAGCCGAACTACGCGGGTCGCCATTTTGTTTTGCCCGGAAATTCTCGCGCTACTCCTAAGGGTGGGCCGACTCCGAGAACTTCCGAACTTTCGACTCCGAACATTTTTGGGCGCGAATTCGTCGACTTCGACTCCGAATTCGAATTCAGGTCAAGATAGCAGCCAATCAAATTTGAGGAGAGGCAAGGTCAATTCGGTGGGATTCGTGTCAAGTCAAGTCGTTCTCCCTACATCCGTCGAGTCGAACACGCTGTAGAGAATCCCGACTCCACGGACCAGTGTAGACAAAGGGGGCGGGGAGGGGGAAGGAGCAGGGAAGAGGTCACAGAGGTCGGGATTGAGGCAGGCAATGTTTTCATTGACATCAGGGGAGGGCACCAGTTTGTTTTGAAAGTTATTTGCTCCTCGTTGACAGTACAGCCGCATTCATGTGCGAGGATAATGGATGCAAACAGGTCATAATAAAAATCAAAGCATAAAATCCCGCAGTCTCGAACTCTAAAGTCAGACCATGCAAATCAAAGCAACAGTCAGCAAGACAGAAGTCTATAAAAAATAACAGTAATAGATCTAGATCTAGATTTATATCATAATCAACATTTATTATGACAAGATAAACATACAAGGTTGAAAACAAACATGGAGTAATGCAAAAGAGACGAGAAATGTGACAATGTAAATGTAAGTGCCAGACAGGTCGTAAGAAAATACATGTAGATAGTACAATGAAGAGAAGAAAAGTAGTGAAATGTGTGTGTGATCGTAGTGAAAGCCAAAGAAAGAAGGAGGCTGGGATAATCACGGGATTTGAATTTAACGTGAAGATGGCTTGCAATTGTGATTGGTGCAAATCAGAGACGCAATGCTCGTCCGTCACCGTAGTGCGTAAATTTGACCTTGGCCTCTTAGGGCATAACCACCAGCAGAAGAGATTTGTAACTGCTAGCAAATCAGCGCGTTCTAAAAGCTCATGTGACTTTCATTGAGTCGACGGAATCGTGGTACGGTCCAATTCGAACTTGCTGCTTCCTTCTGAACACAGCGAGGGGAAAATAGAAATAAGACATCGTGTTTTATGATACTTTTCAAACTTATGCATTTTTATTCATTCAAATCTAACTTTTGAGCGTCCAAAAATGTTTCTTGGGTGCAGTTTTGCGTAAAATTATTCACAGTTTTTAACAAATTAAATATGTTTTCGCTCCTCGTGATCTATTTTCCCCTTGGCTGCCCTAGTTCGGGAATTCGTGTTCGGACTCGTCCTCCTGCCCAATGTTCGATCTCCGACTCAGACCCCACGAATTCGTCGAATTCCGAATCTCGACTTGACTTCGCCCATGCTTAGCTACTCCTCTCTCTCTTTCTCTCTCTCTCTCCACTGCCCACAGACAAAATTGTACGCTTTTAGTAGGCTACAGTTGTAATGGAACGTTTGTTCACGGCACAGAATTCTACACAATTTTTCTGTTATCACAGTGTATAATTCTGTGGTTTAGGGTGAACGCAAAATTTATGAAATATAAATCGATGAAAGTGGCTATTCTCACCCGCCCGGAAGATCTCGCAACATCAACTCCTCCCCTCTTCTCTCTCTCTCTCTCTTTCTGAATACTGTCTATCGGTGTGGACGATCAAATTGACCAAAACAAAGTTTAAAAATGATGTTAAAACACAAAAGTAAATTAATTTGGTTGTCTACAAAGATGCTACGGCTATTTAACTTTTCGAATCGAGCCGAACTACGCGGGTCACCATTTTGTTTTGCCCAGAAATTCTCGCGCTACTCCTCTCTCTCTTTCTCTCTCTCTCTCCACTGCCCACAGACAAAATTGTACGCTTTTAGTAGGCTACAGTTGTAATGGAACGTTTGTTCACGGCACAGAATTCTACAATTTTTCTGTTATCACAGTGTAGAATTCTGTGGTTTAGGGTGAACGCAAAATTTGCTGAACGCGCAGCGGGTGAGAATAGCCACAAGACTCGCCTGCACTATTCTCACTCCGGGTGAGAATAGAGGTGGCCTAAATCGATACTTGTACTGAGCTCTTCAATCAGTATCGATATATCCAGTAGCCAGTAGTCTTTGCATGTGTGATTTAGTGCTAGATCTAACGGGACCGCAATTGTACAGGAGTGCCCCCTGATTTGCCAGGTAATCGTTGAGGAGAAAATCAAAATTTAAGCAAAAAATGGCCCATTTTCGGCAGTTCCCACATTATTCACGGGTTTGGGCCCCAAGAGTCAAGAGGGGGGGGGGGCACGCCCCCATGACCTAATTTTATATGGAAAAGGGGGGGGGGGGTGAATTTTAATTTTACCATAATTTGATGTTTAACAATTAGGTTGCATCCCTTTTCAGAGTTTTCTTTGTGTTGCCTATTTGATCATCAAGACTTCCGGATTTCTTCTCTGGATGTGAACACATGGGTGGTGGACTTTAACTAAGGGAACTACGAGATTACCGGCAATCCATGTTCAAGGCCGCTTCAGTGTGTCAACTTCCATACTGTGATATCGTCACTCATTCCACAACGTCATTCGCAGATTTCGCATTTTAATGTTCTGCCCTTGGCGCGACCACATACGAACGGGGTGCGACCTTGCAGGCACAGATCATAACAGTTGTAAGAAAGTTGTTTGTACTCTATTTAAAGGTTAAATCATTTCTTTAGCAAATTATGATGAAAACAAAATTATGTTATTACAGTGGAATCTTGTTATTATAATGAGAGGTGTGAAATGTCCGTTATAGCAGGATTCCCATTGTAAGGGATCCAGTAATAAATTCAAGGGAAATAATAAAGTAGGCCTAATCTATGAGTTTGTTGTTTCTGATTCCTTTTTTTAGTATTGCCCCTGATGATGATTTTGTTCGACATGATCTCTAGGTCTTACTGATCAAAAATCGAATCAGGTTTCTTTCTCTAGCACTAGCAATGTTGACAGCTCGGCGTTAGCGATCAGAAAGAAGGGGCTCTGGCTCTAAAACTCGCCCACCGTGTTGTCCCCCACCTCACCACACCCTGTGGTGCGTTGTTTCTGCTTGCGCACGTCACCTATTCATTCCATTTATCAAAGCTTTGTGACCTCTCCATCCCGCACCAAAGACGTGAGAGGCATGGTAGGCCGAGATAATCTAGACTGGGCTGGCTTATCACGCAATGCGTTCTGCTTGTCTGCGCATGCCACACCCTCCCCACTCATTCGCTCCGGTCTTCGCGTGGGCTCTCCCGTTCTTTGTTTCGCTGGATCACCAACAACTTTCTCAACTGGCGAGGTTTTATTTTATGTTTAATTGGTCTGTGTGCTGTGCACAGCAGTAGCAATAAACCCGCTATAACCGACTCGCGTGGCTGTCTGATTGCGCAATAGCAGTATTTTATTTACAAAGATAAAGAAGGGAAAAAAACAGGGTTTTAGAATAGTGTCTTTATAACAGACTTCTCTTTATTTCAGGACTCGTTATAAGTGGACTCCACTGTATTATAAACAGAGGGTATAGAGACAAGTAGTCGCGGGTTGGGCCAGCTACTTTAGTTTAGTAACTGAAGAAAACTTCTCGAGGAATGTTTCCAATATAAGCCTTTCACTTCGAACTCGACTGCTGCACTAGCAGACGACTGACGTTCTCGGAAAAGGATTGACCAAAAGTGGAACGATTAGACATGGGATGTAACTCTAGTAAAACAGATTGCACACGAGCAGCACTAAAGGGAAAAGGGAACTGGTCGTGCTCAGGACTCGGTCATGCTAAGGGCCGATGTCTCTAGGTCTGAATGTATAACAATAACATAAGAGCGGACCATTGCACTGCTAGGCTCAAAAGTAGGCCTAGTTCCGGCTTTGTTCAGTGTTAGGTCCACCCAAGTTCAATCTTACCTGCAAATCATTCCTGAAAATTATGAAAAATTTTAACTCACAAAGTCGGCTGCATTGGCTTGTGTGCATTTATTAATTTATTTGTTGTATAGATCTAGACTCTAGACTAGTAGTTCTGGATATCTAGATCTTTTTCTAGACCTAGAATCTAGAGATCTAGATCTAAGTCTAAGAACATTCTGTAAATAAATAAGAGCTTGTCTCCTTGTCATGCCTTAAATGCGCGACTGGTCGTTACGTCTGGTCCTTGCTACTCTAACATCAATCAAATAAGATTACAGTGGGTGTCGCATTCAACGAGGTTGCCGGGACCGGCTTGTTGTCCTTGTTGGAACCGACCTCTCGTTGAACGTGACTAAGGCTAAAGACAAGAAAGGAGACAAGTTATTATGTTACACGATGTACTATTTCCAGTAATTAAAACTGTTGTTCTCCCTGATGACGAAAATCTCAAACAGCATCAGTGTGTGCGCCTTTGAGCTGTGTTCTGACCGTTGTTTCTGCATTTTTAAATATATTTTTTTCCGGAACACTTCTCGTGTGGAAACATACCCTCTCACTAGTCTCACATCTAGATATCTAGATCTAGATTCTAGATCTATATATTAAAGTAAAGACGGGAGCTTGGATTTTCTGATCAGGGGAAGATTTGAAAAAAAAATTAAGGTCTTGATCTAGACCTACCCATCCAGAGTTCATCCAGTTTCACTCAGCCCGCATTGCGTTCCCACCCAACGACTCCCGTCCCTACCGCCGTAGGCTAACCCTCGCCCATCCTCTTGGCTTAGGGCCCATACCATATTAGGAGGCACACTAGACCTAGCAATACAATGTCTTAGGAATCGAGGATGGGCCTTGCCTTGTGCTGCTTCGCGTGAGATGGAGAGAAAGGAGAAAAATTCTTCACTTTTGGGGCTGCTAATTGCTTTTATTTGGTTATCGCGACCTCGTTGAAAGCGACTTTTGTCTGTTTGCAACCTCGTTGGAGCTGACGTACATTTACAAAGAAATATAGAGGTAAAAATCGGGGATTAAGGATTGCCTCGTGGAGCCGACTTTTCATTGAATGTGACCTCGTTGAATGCGACAGCCACTGTGGTAAAAAGAAATTGTTTCCTTACACGCTATGCTATGTTTAGTCATGCGGTACTGTTGTATGTGAACAGTCCATGTAGCAATCGAGGGTCTCGTCGTGTGCGACAGACCGGGGCTGTGGCAGGTTTAGAGCATCACCATTGGTGAAATATCTAGCCAAGGAATGCCGGTCAACACGCTATAGCATGTGTCTTTGTGTGTGTCGGTGAAGGCAAGGCATGAGGCTATACATGTGCAAAAAAGAACTTGCTACTGTCTCTCTGTTGTGAACTGCCAGTTGCACACGAGATTTACCAGTCACGCGCGACTTAACGTTGTGTCACGCATAAGGGGACACTTTTATCGCTTCTGCCGCATGCGACTGAAAATTTAGGCGCGACATAGATCTAGTCGTGCATAAGGCAAGGAAACACACCTCGCGTCGCACATTAATAAGGATACATAGGTTTAGTCTTACTGTGTTGTATTATATTGTAGAAGAAGTGCTGGGAGTGGGAGTTCCTGTGCCCTGCCCCTATCCTATCTCCTATCTTATTGATACTGAGGTGTAGATCTAGATCTACCTCTAAATTGTAGCCAGCCTATTAAAATAATCAGTTTCTATTTATTTCAAAACTTTCGTAATGAACGATCACTATAAGACAAAATAGAATAAACTATAGAGGGGCAGGGTTTGGGTTAGACCTAGGTCTCTTTATTGTGTTTGTTAGGGTGATCACTCGTTAGGCCAGCCTCACCTAGATAGAGTGTCACTCGACACGTCACGCGGGTGAATAGACGCGGGTCACGCGTGTAAGCAAAAGTGTTCAGTATAGTTTTACGCTTGCAGGCTACGTCCATGTCTACCCTGAATGATCCACCATTGGCACAGGGGTACGACTGAAACGCTATGGTCGCCCAAACTCAGCGGAGTGAATGAGGGAACAGCACAGGAATACTCGCATGAAAAATATATAACAATGCAGTGGTGGTCCGAATGCAACAGAGTTCTCGAAGGGAGGAGGCAAGTACAGCAAAGGCAAAACAGCCTCGGTCAACAAGGCCTCTGTCGCTCAACGACTTCGATTCTCTTCCCATGTGCAGACCTGGCGACGCTCAACCATTTGAAAATAAGAATCATTCGAAGAAACAAGGGAGAATAAAGAGAATTGAAGAAGGCCAAGGCGGGAAGAGGTGGGAGGGAGTGAAAAAAGGAAGAAGCAAAAGAGAAAAGGGTTGGGGGTGAATTGAGCAAGATCATTTTAAAAGTAAAAACTAATTTAGGGTGCCCTGAATGTAGCCACTGCGATAATTTTAACGGCACTCCTCACATATATATATATAACAGTTGCCTCACGCTAGTCACGTTGTAAAAGGTGTGTTCACGTGAGGGGAGGAATGGACATGCTGATTTTTTTTTAGCCATGTCTTGTCAACCCTTGCGTTGAGTACAGTCGAATGACTCCCCCAAGACTGAACCTTTTAGATCAATGCCATTGATTCATTTGACAACGATCAGTTCATGAACTTACAGATATGGATTTTATTCAAGCCGTCCAAAGGCAGAAACATGTTCGTCGTTTCCACACACGTATGAATACCCGGTGCGGTCAGATTCTTCCGCGGATTCATATCAGACATCAACTAACTATGGCTATTTCCAGAATTTATCAAACGAAAATACATCTAACAGAATTAACAGTGTACTTTTGAACAACTAGGCCTACAGTATGATAATGATTATGTTCAGCTTCATTAATAAAACAATGATTTCAAAATAAGAAATTTGATTAAGGTGTATGATGAAACTGCTGTTGTTGATGATGGTGATGTTGTTGTTGGTAGTGGTGATGGTTGTGGTGGTGGTGGTGATGATGATGATGAAGGTAGTGGTGGTGTTGGAGACATTGGCGGTTATGATGAAATGGATTACACGTTTAATTTTATGTACCTGAGTGCTAGTACTAATTTTTCCTCAGCTGATATTGGCTCTCGCCAGTTGCAACCTATCAGTTGTAAATGTTGCAAAACGAGTTATTTCATCTCATCATAGGTTAGGTAGGACATGTGCAATTAGATGAAAAACAAAGTTTTATCCCCATCTAAGAATCGAAAGTTCTGTGAAAATCGCCTCTTGATGGTCTGAGGAGAAAATGGGTACGGATTCACTTGCTCCGCTTTCTTTTTTTTTTTAACAACACGATTGTCAACAATGCCTCTTCAGCAGAGGAATCCGTTTTCTCAACCTGGCTGGGCGTGAGGGGATGACAGAGCCCAGATTCTGTGTGATCAGATAAATTGAGGTGTGTCATGTTGCATCATGTGTGGGGTAAAACACGACACATGAAAGGTCACGTTCTATGTGAGGTGGGCCTCATGGAAGTCCTTCCAAAACATAATTTATTCTTTGGAGGACTTCCGTAACGAGCGACCACTATGAGACAGAGTAGAATAGAGGGCTAGGGGTACGGTTTGGGTTAGGGTTAGGTTTCTTCTTTATTGTGTTTGTTGGGGTGCTCGCTCGTTACGGAAGTCCTGCCTTATTTTAATCAATTTATAATTGTCACACAACCAAACAACAATACTGATACTGATACAAATGTAGTCGGAGCTGCCAAGGCGGCTACTGTACAATTGGTCATTTTCCATATACTTCGCTTTTTTTTTTCTTTTAGTATAGGCCTACCCTACTTTGTAGGCCTTCTAAATTCTCCTTATGAATGGCATTGCATAAAATGGAGGAATTCCATAACCAGTGACCTCTATGAAATAGATACTGGGCTAGAAGGTTTTGACTAGGGTTAGGTCTCTTCTTTAAATTTGTGTTTGTTTGGGTGGTCCCTCGTTACGAAAGTTTCTACATAAAGTGATAACCTGTCCGCTGCAGCCACTATAAATTTTAAAGACTAGCCTAGGATATTTTATCAATGAAAAGCCCCCCAAAAAATGCTGTCAAAGATGGCCACGCCAATTTTTTATTGCTCAATGTATTACTTAAAATGTGCTTTTCTGGCGCTTATGGAATAGTCATGATCCGTTCATCGTCTGTCGTTAATTTAGCCTGAACCAATCCCTGACCAGCATGTGAAGACAAGTTAATTCTGGTCTCTCCTGCTGTTTTCACAAGTTGACCGGTTGGTAACATTTAAATAAATGGGCCACTTTTGTGGCATTTTTCATTTTTGGGCCAGTGTTTCAATGACTCACTACTTTAGTGATGGTGTTTTCGGTGTTCTAATTTTGTCATCACATATATTCTACACTTAATTTTGTGCTACTTTTACTACCTCTATCTATTTTCACTCATTGTGATCCTTTCAATTACAAATAGTTTAAATGTTCACACCAACAAACCCATCACTATTTAACTGAATTAAAATTATATACAATTATAGCCATTTTAAGGTAAAACACCCTTTGCCACAGGGTGCGTAAAACTGTGGGAATCCCTTGTATACCAAAAGAGCCTAGCCTGCGACTGCCTCCAGTTGGGACCTCAGAAGGGAATGGTTCGTTTTCTTCATTTTAATCATTCCTACCTATTTTTTTTTCTGGTGTCTGAAGAAAGCATAGCTTTCAGTGCTAATAAAGATATAACACGGAGGCAGTTTGAATTACTTCTTGTTTCTTCACCTATGTTCTTATTGTTTCCAACTACTCTGGACTAGATTTTGTATGACAATATATGTTTTTAAATCTCATCAGACACAAGTTGAGATCCTACACATCAACAGCACACAGACATGAGACCCTCCTCTCGTCCATTCAGACCTCAAATGGGTCCATCGTTCAATCATTGCCCTTGGCAGATGCCCCCACAGCAGGGACCAAGGTTCTTCGGTGGACCTTCTTTTCCTAATGGTCCTCCTCTGAGACATGGCTTCAATCCAGGGGAAGACATTTTTGGATACCGGGCAATAAGTGGTCCCAGAGAGACGTTTCCATTCCCCCCTCCCTGTGGCCCCCCACGTCAGCATGGGCCAACCAATGGTCAGTTTCCACCTACTAGCCGGGGCATGCACAGAGGTCACAGTGCAGGGTTCAGAGGTCGAGGTAGAGGTGGGCCGAATGGCAATCATCAGCAACAACAGAGTGGGAAAAAGGTCTGTCTTGTGTATTCCAATATAATAGTTGTTGTATATTGCGTGTTTAGGAATAAATGAACTGTCTCATCTTCTATTAAACTGTTTTGATTTGTGTAAAATAAATCATTCATAAGAAAAAAAGAAGAAAACTGTCCTATTATAATACTATTATAAATTATCTCCTTATTTCACTTTTTGTAAAATTCCGGATGTGTTATCATTCTTTCTAACACGGTGAATATTTTCAAATATGCTGTAGTAATATAATAATGTAGCAGGAAGAAACAGGCCAACTCTTAATTGTTCTAAACTATTGCCAAGCAAGGCCAGTCAAGGTTCTCTCAATGTCAGTAAAAATCAGGGCTCAACATGCACAATAAGTAATAAACAGTAGTAACTAATTAAATTAAGTGCGCTATTTTTTGTGTTTTTGCACGGTTAGAGTGTTACGCAATTGAAATGGAGCTATTCTGTCTTTTGTGTTCAGCCTCCTGAATTACTTTTACATTAATAAAGCTGTTATAAACACATACTGTTATTATTAAATGGTCTCTTCCAAAGTGCATACATATATACACATACAGACCTGCCACTCATCCCGATTTAGTCGGGATATCCCGATTTTTTGCCCCAAATCTCAATCCTCCCGATTTTTTGCCCCAAATCTCAATCCTCCCGATTTTCCCGATTTCGATCGCGTGTATCCCGATTTTTTTGTCCCAGTCTGCTGTTGTGCCGTATTTTTCTAAAAACTTACTCTGCGTTCTCCTTTGTCGCGGGAAGCACCCGTCGAACTTTTTGTCAGTACGAACTCAGAGCACTATTTCCCGAAATATCAATGCCGCATTAGTAGTTGACTCGCCCAAAGTTGTGTGTGATCTTTTCCCGCTCTCAGAATTCTCCGATGATAGCCAGGTAACTTACAATTTGGGACATTTAA